AATTTTTATGTATGTAGATGTAATGTGATCGATGATTAACTAGTTAACAACAAAAATTATAAACCAGTCTTTACTTTTTGTAGCTTACGAGATACGTTCACGTGGACAGAAGGATGGAAGGTCGGAAGGACGAACAGAGCAATATACATTTGGCTCATTGTCTTGATAGCGCATACCTCTGATTGTATATTTATGAATTTCGACAAATCCATCAATAAGCTAAGTTTCACAAGTTCACAACTTTGAACCTCTGTCTAGCTCTGTAACTTGATGCCACACTTATTATTTACGCTATTTAATTACATCAATTTGTTTACCTCTTGTGCCAGAAATAGCTTCTCTGCGATTCTTTTCAAAGAGTTTTACTCGATTTAAATTTGGCTTTTCATAATTTACAACTTCATTAACAATGCGATCGATTCGAAGCGAATCATGAACATTCATTCATGAAAACAGATAAATTTCGGAGATTTTTTCTTCTGTGGAATGAATTGAATTGGATTGGAGCATAGAAATGCGCAGCATCATGATCAAATGGATGGATGAATGAATGAATGAATGAAACAAATTGCTTTGAGTGCGCCTCGCTTCGCTTCGGCTCGCCTTGCTTTGCCTTTCCTTGCCATTTTCTGCTGTATCATTTCCATTTGCCCCCTTCCACCCTTTCCCATCTTGACTGGAATTTTGGATATCCTTTGTGGGGAAGTCTGAGCGGACTCGAGGTGTCGGCCGTGTAGGCTAATTGGCAGCGTGTTCAAAGGTGCCGCCAGCAAATTAAGTATGAGTTACCAATTTAGCTTTTATATCTCTATTGCACACAGACACACACATGCACACAGACACCTATACATACAGACTCGGATACACACTTGTTCTCAAAGACGGCGCTGCGGATGCGTTGATGATCGCATTGGGAGGGCAGTTTGTACAGCCTCTCTTTCCGTCACTCTCTCTCTCTTTTACTCTCTCTCACTCTTTCCCTCTCTTAACTGGTTTTGGCTGGAAGTAATTGCAGTCCTTTGATTGCATTTGTATGCCAAGCTGAATTGTTTACATTTATCATAATCAGCAGCGAGCAAAAGTCGCGCCTCGGGGTCGGGCCTTTGCAAGCTTTTCTCTTCTTTCCTTTGGGGGGGCGCCAGTTAGCTTGCAACCTGGCGTTGCAAGTGCCGCGCTGTGGCAACATGATGTAGGTCGTCTGCACAGGGCACTTGATCGTGTGAGCTGTGCGCATAATTGCTGACAATGTGACGGAGCAGGAAGTACGCAAAACAGTTTAACTAGCAGCGAAATGAAATGAAGCGAATTGAAGTCTGCTGATGATGATCAGATACCCTGTAATATATGGAAAATGCAAATATAGGAAATGGATCTATAGATACTCTGCAGTCAACAGTTAGAAGAAGACGTGGGCGGACACACAGAGAATTTGTATTCCAAACCAAGAATACGAATTAAGATACTTTAGCTCTCTCTGTTCTAGTCACTCAGAGTCTATTACACTTTACCTACTTTGTACAGGCTATGTATGCCACGAACAGAATTGTAGGAAGTACAAATGATATGGAAATAAGAAAAGCCATTTGAGCTATTTCCGTTTGGACTCGAACCATTTTGTGCAGCCTAGCTAGCTCCTAGCTTTTTCACTTAGCAAAAGACGGAGCGAAGGAGAGCGAAAGAGAGTAGAAGCGAGAGAGAGAGAGAGAGATAGTGAAATAGAGTGAGAGAGAAAGGGAGAGAGAGAGTTGCTGGGACCGCTCATGAGCTGCGTTCATTAGTCATTTTTAGTTGATGCGATTAATGGGTTTCGACAGTTACGCATGATAATAGCGAGCTCTAAATGCTTTTCTATTTGTTTTCACGGAAGTGCTGGGAGTTTGTTGTATTTTTTTTTTCACTCTTGCTTCCCATAATTAGAGTTCGCCGCAATTTGGCTGAGCAAATTTCTCAGCTACTAAAACTAAATGCCAACGGTAATGGGCAAGTCATTTGTGCTCCATAGCCATAAACTATATCAGCTAGCTCTTTCGCACAAGCACAACTTCCGACTTGCTCCCTCTCTGTCTATCTCTCTCTGCCTCTCTCCCTCTCTCTGTCCGTCTGTAGCCAATGATTTCAATTAAACATTTTCCAGCCGCAACTTTCGCCCAGAGCACTTTCAAAACGCATTAATCACGCCCAGCTTCATCTGACGGGAGCCTAGAGAGGAGAGGGTGGAAGTGTGGTAGGTTGCTAGAGAAGGCGAACGTAGGTAGCTCTAAAAAGTTTCTTTATCTCGAACGCATGCGTCGCATTGTCACACATTTGAAAATGAAAATAAATTGCTTTCCAAACTACAGATATGGCCGAGAAAGATCTCGCGTCCAGCTGGCTGCTCATGCATATGTAATGGGGTTTTCCGCCTAGTTTACGAACTGTTAGAAGACAATCGAATCGGTTCGTTGGCGGCGCGATAAGCGCCAAATTAAACTGAAGCTCCAACTGGAGCTGCCTGGCTGCTCAGCTCATCTCAGCTCTCCTCGGCAATCGGTCGGCATCATTAGCAGCGGAATTGATAGCTTGATTATTCAAATTATTAACAAACGATCGACTGCTGCTGCTGCGGCTGCGGCTGCTGCGGCTGCTGTTGTTGTTGTTGTTGGCGACGATTGATGGCGCGCTTCAGTTTTTTAAAAGTGCTGCCAGGTGCCTCACAGGTCACAGACTCTGGGGCTGATGAAGAAGAAGCAGCAGACGCTCAGCTTGAGAGTGAAAAATGTGTGCGCCGGCGGCGGCGTTTTGAAAACCCTTTGAACTGGCCCGCAAAACGGTAGCCAACGCCGGCTACGTCCGTCCGCTTCACTTTGAAATATTCAAAAACCATAAAGCAATATCTAAGCAGGCTATTAGACGATTAGATACCCTGTAAGATAACCAACCTCTAAATGCAATGCGAAGTTGCTCCATTTCCGTTTACCTGCAAACAATTCATATTTTCAAATTCCAATATACCCATTTTCCATAATTGCAGGATATTTTGGTCTCCCACCCACATTCATTTTTTTTGTCTCAGCTCAAAATTAAATCTAATACAATTGTATGTTTTTCTAGCTCTTGCTGTAATACCCGCTTTGGATGCACATAATTTACGAGGTATGCTGATTGCTTGAAAATTAATAAATATTGAAATAATTTAAGTAAATTTTATATGCAAATCGCTGTCGTTCGTTACTTTGCGAGCTGCAAAACGCGCTCTTCTTTAAACACTTGGAGCGCTTCATTTTGATATTTAATACCCTGTAATAATGACACTATGTTGAGTCTCTTGAGTCCAGAGTGTAGAAAAGAAAAGTAGGTATACAATTAAATTGAACTAACTTGTTCTTAGTCCATCAACTTGATATCGATAAATATCGATTGTGAGACTTTGTGTATGTTTAGGCATAGCTCGATAGCATGAGATAGAGGTATAATGTTTAACTCGGAGATTCGGAGAGCTAACTAAACTCGACAGGGTATCTTGCTAGTCAGGCATTGCGCGATCGAAGACCCTGTCGTGTTATTTTTATGTGTATCCAACTCGTTTTTGATTTTGTTCACTCTTTGTTTTTGCCAAGTGATTAAATTAATAATTAATTAGTTTAAATTTTGAATAACGGTTGTAAATAATCATTAATAAAAATTAAAAAAGATTTCTTTTATTTTAAGAGCTCGGCGAAATACGCAGCACAATTATCAAGAAACTTTGTCTGCCACAATCCAAATTCAAATGCAAACCGATTCAAGATCAACTGAAGAGTAGGTAAAGAGGGGGAGAAGGGGAGAATGCCAGATGGAGGGAATGGTGGGGGAGGGGAGGGGGGCAGTGGAAGCTCTTTCAACTCGTTTCCTTAATGACCCGCGACTTCTGCGTTGTTTGCTTAAATATGTTAAAATTTATTGGCAACGGTTTCTCAATTTGCATACCATAAAATGGGTTAAAAAGTGTATAAAAAACGAAGCTCAGCCAAATTAGTAAAATCGCAATCATCCGATCTAGAAGCTAACGCAACTAATTGAGCATTTTAGAAGCTGGAACGCGTTCATTGATCTGCAGCAATTTAAAATGGCAACCAATAAAAAATATGAATATAAATGAAATATTATTGTGTTATTATTATATGGGAGATCTAGATATTCGATTGAGTTTCTATCGATCAAGCATGGTCGATTATTATCGACTGTGCGTTACAAAGTAATTAGATAATAATCAATAACAAGAATTCGCACACATTTTTATTCGTCATCATGAATCAATCATGAGTCAAGGCACACAGTATGATTGAATGCATTTGAAACTCTTTGAGTAGTGCTTTGGTGGCCCTGAAAAGGGCCGTTGGGTGATTCTTGTTGTTTATTGTCTGAAGTGCTTCTAGCCTTTGGGTTGGCTCTTCATGTGTCGTCGCTGGTGTGGGTTTGTCGATGCCTGCTGCAGCCTGGGCCGAAAGAGGCCTTGGTCCGGTTAGCTCAAGCCAAGAGGCAAGCCACTTATTGTGCGCGTGTGTGTGTGGCAAGCCTCATTGAGAGTCTGCATGGCTTTGAATCGAGCCTTTGCCGTGCATCATTTGATTGTCTCATTTCTGTTAATTCAAATCTCTGGAGAGTCGAGTATCAATCATGCGATGTAAGTGTCTAGCTGTGGTTGAAGTAATCTTTTCGTTTTTCGCATGAATGGTATAGGCAATGTGAATGAGTCAATCAGTCAATCGCTTCAAGTATGGAGCTGCTTCTCCTTGACTTGGCCTGCATCCATAATTAGTCTAAGCTGTTCAATCAATCCGTCAATCAATCATTTGTTTCAAGTGTAAGGCTGCAGTGGAATAGGGCTGCCTCCCCTTACACCTGGTATCCAAAATCAATAAAATCTTCTCCTCACGAATGTCTTGATCGTCAATCAATCAAGCATTCGCTTCGAGTGTGGAGCTGCGGCCGGATCGGCCTTGCTGCTCGCATCCAAAAATTAATATAATGTCCTCCTCAATACTGTGCTCGCTTTTTGTACCGTTCATCGGGTTGCAAGTGCGACGTTGTCGCCGCCGCTGCTGGCGCCCGCTCATTTGGGAGGCGTGGCCATGGCCTGGGCAGCCGAGACGGGCACTGGCACCACCATGCCAGCGGCAGCGGCTGCTGCGGCCAGACCCACCATGTCCGCCTCGTGCATGGGCTTCTTCTTCAGGATGCTCAGATCGTTGACGTTCTCGAGGAAGGATTTGTGGGCGGAGAAGACCTTGACGCTGTCGAAGTCCTTCTTCAGCTCCTCGATGTCGCGCTTCTGCTTGGCGCGGCGGTTCTGGAACCAGGTGATCACCTGGGCATTGGACAGACCCAGCGAAGCGGCGATCTCGTCGCGATCGGCGGGCGAGAGATACTTCTGGTAGAGGAAGCGCTTCTCCAGCTCGAAGATCTGATGGTTGGTGAAGGCGGTGCGCGACTTGCGCTTCTTCTTTGGCTGCGGCCGGTTCGAGAATATGTCCAAGTGCGATTTATCTGCAAGGCAGAAGAGAGATAGAGAGAGAGGAGATTAGTTGACGCTGCAGTTGAAACCGGTTGGGATCGCTTCAAGCTTAGAGGCGAGTCGAGTGCAGTCGACTACACGAGTGTTAACAAGCGCACTTCTAAGTCGCATTAGGAATAATTTTTAATTGGCCGCGACGAGTGTCTGGGCGATTGTTAATTAAAGTGCTTTGATTTATGCATTTAAATGATTTAATTGCAAGCGTTTTGCCTATGTGCTGCAAATACACTGTGAAAGTAAGTAAACATTGGGCATATCGGTTTGTGGAATTGATTATGGTATCAGGCTTAAAGTATACACTGCTTCAGTTATGTGAGAAGGGAAGGGTGTCACAGTCTTCTTTATGTCTGTCTGATTTACTTGCTCGCCTGCTTACAGTGTATTCTGTCAGTCAGTCGTACTCCGTTGACTTGTTGCGCTTGATTAATTGAGCAAGATGTGGGCGTCATTGACTTTGTCTCTGTGCGGACTTTGGCAATCATTTGTCTCGTTTGTTGCTTGATTTATGCCGCATAATTATTGACACCTACAAATCAGATGTGTCAGGTGGGCAAATTGCAAAAGTGAAGCTTGAATAATGCTTCCTGATCACAGACAAAGCAGAGAGAAGGGGCCGCACAGAGACAGAGGGAGAGAGAGTGAGGTAGAGAGGGGCTGTATGCTAATTTATAGTTACGAATCTTTCCGTTGCTACTGTGACTGCCCCCAATTTGGAAATGCTTGAATATGCATAAGGCATATGCATGGAGTATAGAGTGTGTGTGGGGTATATGCCTCTATTGTTGTTGTATGTGAACCGGTCTTCACGCCCCATTCCATTCCATTTCGATTGCTTGTCAAACAAACTAGCCTCGGCATTAAAAACTAATTAAACGCTTCGTGTTTCCAAATGCAAATGGCATTAATTTGGCCTATTTGTTATCTCGTGCACGTTTTGTAACCGAAAACCCATTAGGCACTTGAGCACACACCCTGCATACCCTCTCTATCCCCCTCTCTGTCTCTCTCTTTATCAGAGACTCATTAAGTAATTTCTGTGACTTATCTAAAACATAAATACTGAAGGAACAAATACTCTAGGGCTAACCACTTGGGTCCTGTCCCTGTCTCAGGTATCCACTTAGGGCGAGTGAGAGTCACGAGTGAAATATGCCCTTTCTTCTCGTTTCAGTCAAGGGGTGGTTTGTTTTGGTTGCATCTACACAAAACATAAAAAATAAAGTAGGAGTAGAAGAAGAAGAGGAGCAGAAGAAAACCTTTCTTCACAGCAAATTTATGTTTTCAGTTGTAATTCGAGTTTAACTGCCCAATGCCCACTGCCAACTGGCCACACACTTTCCAAGGAAAGTGCAACAGTTGTTAATACGTTTCAATTTGCTTCCAATACGTGGAATCAGTTGAACGCAGACAGTTTGTCTGGCATGTCAGCCAGAGGAAATGAGAGCAAAGGAGAGGTAGTGAAAATGGAAATATACTCGCTTTGTTTAGTTAGACATGCTGCTTTAGTTAAGTTTATCATCGTAGTTGTTATTCAATCAAGCAATCGCTCCAAATGCATCCTCGATTCATATCCTTCATCTTCAGCTATCGCTTAAATGCCATCTGCGCACTTCCCGCGGTCATCGAGTGTTAATGACATTAATGATACTCACACTTATACACACACACATACACACAATTGTCATTCGATAGTGGCTAAACACATAATAGATATATGTACACACATACATTTGTACTTATATCTATGTGCATATATTACATGTTTATCGGCTCGACTTCTACTTGTTGCTGACTGACTAACGATGCCAGCGCACATAATATGCCATAAATATTTCATTTTACAGCTATACAATATTTGATAAATAGAAACATATTTGAAGTGCTAAAAACAACAACAGCAACAAGATCAAACGCGTTTGCCTGTCAGCGACTGCAACTGCGACTGCAGCTATTAGCTACAATAGCAATTTAGCCAAATGACAATGGCAACAACAGCGAAATATTCGTAACTAATCGCCGCAGAATCGACACGAATGCACAAAAATAAATACATATATAGTATATACACATGGGCAGGTTACACTTGGAGAAAAGTGGGTGCATATAAACGAGGTAAGTTGAGCTGTGGGTGGAGAGAGGCACTCGAAAAAATAGTCGAGTTGTGAGTTGTGGGAACATTGAGCAGAAATAAGCGCAGAGGCAGAGAGCATGAGCCACACCTAAGCAAATTGACGTTTATGATCAAGGATGAAGTGAAGTGTATAGTTACACTCAGAGAAATATTTTAAGCGAGGCAGCTACACTTAGAAAAAATTAAATTTATATCAAAGAAGAAACACGCTTGCTGTCGATTATTTTCTCTTAGTGTACGCTATAACAATGCGTACTTGACAATAATTAGCATGAAATATACAATAATTGAGCGAGGGCAGAGTTTTGGAGCTGAGCACTAAAAAACGCCCACTTAATGCAGCAGACGAGTGCAAAGATGAACTGCGACTGCCATAAATCGAGAATTGGATCTATATGCTGTAGGCTACAGATAGAGAAATTCCACTTATGAACTTGTGTGCCCAATCAAACATTGAGTTATCTGCAATTTGTTTTAGCTCTGCTTCTTGGCATATGCCGCAAATTAATTGAAAATACATAAAAATAGCCAAACTGAGAATTAGCCAAAGCCATTTGCATAACAAAAAGAGATATAGAAGCAGAAGCTGAAACAAAAACAAATATCGGAATCGATGTGGGAAATGAGAATGGCTTCGGCTTCTGAATAATGTTTCGTTTCAATTAGGCTAAATTCAAAATCAACGCAAACAATTTGTTGCAGTCGCTCAATTGGAAATTGCCACAAAATTAATTACGGTTCGGCTGTTCGTCTAATTAAACAAGATTCTCTGCATATGCACGACTGGGTGATACCCTATACCCAACTGATAGAGGAGGTATTCGAAAAGTGAAATATCTTTAGTATAATTTTGGGAATCTATGGGAAACCATGCAACAAAATTTCTATTTCGGTCTATGTATCATGTTTCGTTCCTATGCTTAAACAGAGTGACCCATTAACACTTGCTCGCGTTGCAGGGTATATGGGCTTCGAACAAATTTATCGATTTCGATTTCGAAAACAACAAAAATTGAGACATTTATCAATGAAACATTTGTATGCTAATCGATTGAAAGATCAACGATGAAGCGCAGCAGCAATTTATGGCCACGCTAAGTGAGGGAGCACGATTGAAATTGGAATTGTTCTACATGTATAGATATAGTATAGGTACAGATACAGATAAATATACAGATATAGATATATGGGTGTATTTACCTTGTGACTCATCAAAGTCCTTGGTGGTCATCTGGAAGAGCGCGTCGAGTGGCGTGCCATTGGCCTTGGCCTTGGCCTCAGCTGCGGCGGCGGCGGCGGAGCTGGCATTGCCACCCGTCTGGGCGGGACTGGAGGCATTGGCATTGCCTGAGCTGCTGTTGCCCATTTGAGCAGAGGATTGTGGACTGTGGCTGCGACGCAGTGCAGCGCCTGCAGCAGCAGCAGCGGCGGCAGCAGCAGCCGAATCGCGAGCTATTTCGGGCGAGCAGCAATCGCTGGCAGCCGAGCTGGAGCGATCCGAGCCACTCTCCGAGGGAATGATGTCCATGCTCATGTGGCGCAGCAACTGCGCCTGGGCATTGAAGTGCTCCTGCAGCTGGCGATGATAGTCGAGGGCCAGGCGCTGCTCGTAGTGCAGCAGAGCTGAAGGAATAAACGGGCGGACGGGCATGGGCCCAAGCAGATGGTCCCATGGACGCACGATCTGTGCCCCGGGCAGCAGCATGGCAGCAGCGGCAGCTGGATGCATGTCCAGGGGCTCGGTGCGGGGCTGTAGCAGGCCGGAGACAGGCCGGGCGACTGGTGGGGCCAGCAGAGTGGCAGCCGGCGGTGGCGATGCGGAGGCCGAGCGCTGTTGCTGCTGATCCTGCTTCTCAGAGTGACCGAGAATGTCCGCAATGGAGAAGCTCTTGACGCCCTCAATGGCGGACTTTGTGGTGGCCGTGGCCGTGGTCGTGGCTGTGGTGACAGCGGCATTAGATGTGGGCGGTGCAGGAGGACTTGGCGTCTGCTCACGCGTCTCCGATGAGCTGGAGGACATGCGCAAGCGCTTCAGCGGCTGGAAGTAATCCTCCGGCAACGTGCCGACGGCATTGCGCGTCAGTCCGGCTGCTGCAGCTGCGGCAGCGGCGGCGGCAGCAGCGGCGGCATGTTGCTGCATCAGCAATTGCTGTTGCTGCAGCAAATCGCGTTGATGGTGCAGCTGGTGCTGCTGCTGCTGATGGTGATGATGGTGTTGGGTCGGCAGCGGGCTGGGTGCACCGCCGACGGAGATCTCGGATTCGGCAGGACTGGCCGGACGCATAGTGGGCGGACAGAGCATTTAAATACTGATCAAAAATTATTACACACTTTCACACACACACACAGAGAGAATTTGTCTGGAGCTAAATTTGGTTATTAAATATATTTAGTATTTATAGATATATTCTCTTGAATATATACTATATCAGTTGGTAAACGTGCGACGCGCAACGATAAACTATAAACCATAAACGATAAGCGATAAACGTTACGACGCTGATCCAATAGGAGGACCTCTCAACTCGACGTTTCACAGTCAACTGTTCGAAACTAGATTGAAGATTGGTTTGCTAACTAGACACGTCGATATTTCTTCAGTTCTTTTGCTGCCCGCGCCGCAGCGCTCTCCGCGCTGCTCACTTCAGCGCGGCGTGTGCGTGTGTGCGTGTGTGTGCCGTCTCTTTAACATCGTTTGCTCTCTCTGTGTGTGCCGTCGTGTCGTGTCGTGTCTCGTTTGTCGGTGGTTAAACTCGGCAATCAAATCATAACTGCACAACAAGGCGAACGCTCTCTGCGAGAGCCAACCAGTTTGGCCTTTGGCTGTCTGCGTTAGAGTGAGCCGGCAATACTTGTGCGCTCTCTTGCGCGCTGGCCAATCGGCGGGCTGAAAAGCAATGTTAACAAAAAATAGCAATGGTGGCGTATACGTAACGGTAATTATGGCGTTCTTCATGCGCCACGCGCCAAAGCGAGATAGCACCAACGCAAACGCTCTGTGCACTGGTGTGAGTAAGTGTGTGTGTGTGTGAGCGAGGGAGGCAAAGCGAAATGAGTGAGAAAAAACAAGTAAAACCCCAACGAAAAGGCGACGCTCCTCAGCTTGTAACGAGACTGTATTTAGTATTTTCAGTCTCTGCTAAAGTTTTCACAACTTCGGCAGCGACGTCGACAGTAACGTCGGCAGCGACTCCGACCCGACCCCGTTTAATGACGCATACTACACACAAGCGACCATCTACATACAGCCGCGCCCCTCCACTGCCGCAAACGCGTTTAATTGTGAAGCGTTTGCATTTAATTTGTTGCAACTAAGAACATTTCATTAATTCAAGCAAGCTGCAAATGAATTTGAGCTTCAAAAACTACAATTGGGTCGAAAATATAAATAAATAAATTTCAGATTGTTAGATGGGAAATTTTATGAGGTTCGAGTGTTAAACATGGGGAAGTATTTTTATATTTTAATTATCAAAATTTATTTCGTTATATTTGTTTTTAAATATATTAAAAAATGGAAATTCTAGGTATCTCAATTATTTTATTTCAATTTTTTTTTTAAATTTCTTGTACGTTGTACTCAAATTGACGGCATAAAAAGGAGAAGTATAATTTCAGAAATGATCAGATATTATATACTCATTATTTTTTAAATTATATATTGAGTATATGAAATATGAAAACAAATATAGAAGGAGAAAGAGACTTATACATTAATTATTTTTCAATTCTCTCAATGTTTTTGACAGTACCATAAAGTCCTTTCGTTCATTTTTTCTAGAAACTCATTTCAAAACTCATTTGTGTCGCTTGGAAATCTTATATGTGTCTGTTGTATGTTACATTAACTAATTGTTGACACAATTTGTTCGACTTAAACACATTGCTGACATGGCTGGGCCATAGGGCACGGCTCTAATCCTTTTAATTGAAACGAATGCGAGGCCCAAACAAAGGAGGCCCACCGAGCGGCAAACAAAAGGCGTCAAGGCGTCTGAAAGACAATAGGCCCAAAAGGCACTTAAGAAACAAGAAAATCGGAGAATCGGAAAAAGGGAAAATCGGAAAATGGTAGAATGGGAAAATAGGAAAGCAATTGCTGTCGCTGCAGGATGCTAAATGAAAAAGAAAAGGAATTGCCGGCAGCGCTCGACTTTAGCCGCAGTGGGTCTTCAAATCCCACCAGGTAGCCTTACCTGGACAGCAACTGTGGCGGCTGCTGCTGCTGCGGCTGTTGTTGATAAGGACTAATCACACAAATATTTGAGCATTTGGTTTGTGATTGAGTTTAGCCGCGAGGGCAGGGGTCAAACAAAGCGGCTCGTTTGATTTACCAGTTTAGCGCTTCTGTATTGCCCCCCATTATTGACCTTTATATCTATCTATCTATCTCCCTCTCTCTCTCTTTCCCTTTCGTTCTTTTACTGATAATTCTAATTTCTTATTTGGATGGTTCATTCGCGGCTATTAGAGAGCCGCGGCGTGGGAAAAGCCTGCGGTGTTAATTATGCCGCCAAAGTCCTTGGAAAATCCTTTAGACTAAATAAAAGGAAAGTCAATTTACACCTGTTACACCCTTCATTCCATGTGCTTGTGTGTGTGTGTGGCTTCATTCACACGCTGATAAATTGTGTCTCGCCGGGTGAAAGTGCTGGCAAAGGCTTCATTAATATTCAAATGCGATTTTCATTGATTTATCGCTGGGGAGCAGCTGAGGGCAGCTACTGTCGGCAGCTGCAGTGGCAACTGCGGCGGAAATGCGGCACACAATTTAACTCATTTAACTTATCTAGCCAGCTTATCCACCAAGCTAATCGAAGCGATTTACATTTTCAATATGTATCGCACAGGCTGCCCACGCCTTCAAATTATTTATGGTTGTGTGTGTGAGTTGCTTGAGGCCAAACTTCATGGCCAGAACCAACAGCAGCAAAAGCACCAGCTACAACTAAGAACGCTAAAGTCGGGCGTAAGCAGCTGCATAATACTTGCTCACAATCATTAAATGAGTTGAATTCTTTGAGGTAAACTAACTTCAGGGTCTGTTTGATGCTCAAACTGGAACAAATTATGATGTTTACCAACTCTCTACGGGGCAAAAATACAAAAATTTTGACATCTCGATATGACATTGTCTGTATACATTTATATACTCTATATATATACTATAATTTATAAACCCTATACACCCATTTCATATCGTGAGCAAGTCTAGCAACAACATCAACTGGCCTGTAATTGTCAATTAGCAAGCTTTCAACAGGCAGCCACAGTCACAGCTACCAATTCGAGTTGCTGTTCATTTTCAACAATTTTTTGTGGCAGCTGCCAATTTGCATAACTCAAGAGCTCCGCAAATCCGCTTGTTCCGCAGATCAGCCCCAGCCCCAGCCCACGCTCGCCATTGACACCTGGCTGTCAGCCGAAGTTAAGTTGATTGTCGCCTCCGAGCTGTGATTTCGATTAGAAGCCGCCAAAATGCTGACGATTGGTAGCAGATCGAATTATATATGTGTCTATATATCTATGTACATACATATATAATAGTTTATTTTTATTGGAATTATAATTTCTTATGCTTGTGCTGCAATTTGGCATCAAGTTCTGCTTTGATTTGAATTGATCTTGACGCTTCAACTGAGAATTCCGATGATGCATATGAATGAAGAAAGCTATATAAAATAAATATTTTAGATGGCAGAAAACAATAAATCTCTAGCTGGACTAAGCAATAATGAACATCTTGACTTTATCAACTCAGCTAACATTTCGTGCAATTCCATTCTCTCTCATTCACTTACTCTCTCCTTCATATATACACTGAAAGACCTCGCTAATTCTTGGCATGCGTAAGAGTGGCACAGACTTGTGGCATTTCACTTATTTTGTTTAGTAGCGGCCCAAGCCTTGTGCATTTGACATACAAACTTTAGACCTCAAAGAGATCAGAGCCACTGTCTCAGAGAAAGTCTGAAGTGCTGAAAGCTAAAGAAAAGTCATTAGCAAAGGTAGTTAGACGCAAAGCAAAGGTATTAAGCATTGCCAATTTCACAGTTATTAGCCGTGCGAGTCAGAGAGAGCGAAAGAGAGAGGGAGAGACGAATAGTAGCAAATCGACTTAAGCCGTTTAGGGCCACCCACATCGAGAGTGGAGCAATGCGAAGCGAAGCGAACCAGATGCCAAGATGTGGAAGCATGTCAAAGAAAATGCAGCTTTCAGGTCAAGTTTTGGTAGCATCACTCGGCTACGCTAATCAAACCACTACGCTCCACAATAGTCGGCCAAAAGTTAAGAGCTCGAAAAGTCAAAAGAGCTCGAAAATCTAAAAACCGATACACAAAGACAACAAATCAAACGCTCACTGCAAATGGAAAGCACGAAAAACAGTGGAAAACAATGAACAAACGAATGCTAATTAAAGCGATGCTCAAATTGAAATGTTAAACTTTTAGTAATACCCATTGAATGGTAGAGTGATAGACGTGGGATATGATAGGCTAGAATCTCGGGTTGAATGCTGAAATAAAATTTAGTTGAGATTTAGAATGAAGGGATGGAAGAGCGAGAGAGAGCGAGAGAGAGAGAGAGAGAGAGTGAGAGTGTGAGAGAGAGAGAGAGAAAGTGAGTGAAGGATCACGCTCACGACAAAGAGAGTAAGGCAGACGGTGAGAGAGATATATGTATATGCAGATACATACTTTTTGATACTGGGTATAAACTAGTTCAAGTTATATGAAATCTAAAATTCATTCATACTTACGACTTTATCGCGTGTGGTTCATCAGCGGTGAAAAGCAGCTCAAATCGAGCTGCCACTGGCCAGAACCAGAATCAGAGCCAGATTCACAGTCGGAGGCAGATTCATAGTCAGCTTGATTTGGATTTGAATTTGTGTTTGAGGTTCTTCTTTGGCTCTCAGGTGCTGCTACTGTTGCGAGCTATATCAATATTGACCCTTGATCTAGCTACTCACACGCTCTACTCGCCTCTCGCCACTCGCATCGGCAGTTCTTTGAGAACTCTTGTTTAGATACTTTTTCGACTGAATGCCGCACACAAATATTTGTCCGCTGGCGTCTTAATTGAGTTGGCTGAGCGCTCGGCTCTTGGCTCCGGTCTACGCGTGGCCGGCGTTCATTTTTGACCGATGTGTGATAATTACTTTAGCATCGATGCTGCGGCCCCTTTGATGGGAGGCGGCGGGTGGGGGCAGCGGCAGGGGCAGCCTCTGAGGCAGCGGCCTTTTCTCTTTGACTCCAACTTTTGCGTTGGCCGTGCGCAAACAAACGGTTCACTGCATTTCTTTATTGTTGCAGTTGCTCTGGCAGTTGTTGTTGTTTTTGTTGTTATTTCG